AACGATCACTACATGTGGTGATAGAAGACATTATAACGATCACTACATGTGGTGATAGGAGACATTATAACGATCACTACATGTGGTGATAGGAGACATTATAACGATCACTACATGTGGTGATAGGAGACATTATAACGATCACTACATGTGGTGATAAAAGACATTATAACGATCACTACATGTGGTGATAGGAGACATTATAACGATCACTACATGTGGTGATAAAAGACATTATAACGATCACTACATGTGGTGATAGGAGACATTATAACGACGATAGGAGACATTATAACGATCACTACATGTGGTGATAGAAGACATTATAACGATCACTACATGTGGTGATAAAAGACGTTATAACGATCACTACTTGTGGTGATAGAAGACATTATAACGATCACTACATGTGGTGATAGAAGACATTATAACGATCACTACATGTGGTGATAGAAGACATTACGATGTGGTGATAGGAACATTATAACGATCACTACATATAGGAGACATTATAACGATCACTACATGTGGTGATAGGAGACATTATAACGATCACTACATGTGGTGATAGGAGACATTATAACGATCACTACATGTGGTGATAGGAGACATTATAACGATCACTACATGTGGTGATAGGAGACATTATAACGATCACTACATGTGGTGATAGGAGACATTATAACGATCACTACATAACATTATCACTACATGTGGTGATAGGAGACATTATAACGATCACTACATGTGGTGATAGTGGTGATAGAGACATTATAACGATCACTACATGTGGTGATAGGAGACATTATACATTATAACGATCACTAAACGATCACTACATGTGGTGATAGAAGACATTATAACGATCACTACATGTGGTGATAAAAGACGTTATAACGATCACTACATGTGGTGATAGGAGACATTATAACGATCACTACATGTGGTGATAGGAGACATTATAACGATCACTACATGTGGTGATAGGAGACATTATAACGATCACTACATGTGGTGATAGAAGACATTATAACGATCACTACATGTGGTGATAGGAGACATTATAACGATCACTACATGTGGTGATAAAAGACGTTATAACGATCACTACATGTGGTGATAGGAGACATTAAAACGATCACTACATGTGGTGATAGGAGACATTATAACGATCACTACATGTGGTGATAGGAGACATTATAACGATCACTACATGTGGTGAGACATTATAACGATCACTACATGTGGTGATAGGATCACATTATAACGATCAACGACATGTGGTGATAGGAGACATTATAACGATCACTACATGTGGTGATAGGAGACATTATAACGATCATTACATGTGGTGATAGGAGACATTATAACGATCACTACATGTGGTGATAGGAGACATTATAACGATCACTACATGTGGTGATAGGAGACATTATAACGATCACTACATGTGGTGATAGGAGACATTATAACGATCACTACATGTGGTGATAGGAGACATTATAACGATCACTACATGTGGTGATAGAAGACATTATAACGATCACTACATGTGGTGATAGAAGACATTATAACGATCACTACATGTGGTGATAGAAGACATTATAACGATCACTACATGTGGTGATAGAAGACATTATAACGATCACTACATGTGGTGATAGAAGACATTATAACGATCACTACATGTGGTGATAGGAGACATTATAACGATCACTACATGTGGTGATAGGAGACATTATAACGATCACTACATGTGGTGATAGGAGACATTATAACGATCACTACTTGTGGTGATAGGAGACATTATAACGATCACTACTTGTGGTGATAGGAGACATTATAACGATCACTACATGTGGTGATAGGAGACATTATAACGATCACTACATGTGGTGATAGAAGACATTATAACGATCACTACATGTGGTGATAGAAGACATTATAACGATCACTACATGTGGTGATAGAAGACATTATAACGATCACTACATGTGGTGATAGGAGACATTATAACGATCACTACATGTGGTGATAGGAGACATTATAACGATCACTACATGTGGTGATAGAAGACATTAAAACGATCATTACATGTGGTGATAAAAGACATTATAACGATCACTACATGTGGTGATAGGAGACATTATAACGATCACTACATGTGGTGATAGAAGACATTAAAACGATCATTACATGTGGTGATAGAAGACATTAAAACGATCATTACATGTGGTGATAAAAGACATTATAACGATCACTACATGTGGTGATAGGAGACATTATAACGATCATTACATGTGGTGATAGAAGACATTAAAACGATCATTACATGTGGTGATAAAAGACATTATAACGATCACTACATGTGGTGATAGAAGACATTATAACCACGACTATATAATTATTTTTTTTGAAATGACACGACTTTCACTAAGTTGTTTCTTTCCTCGTGCCGCTTCTTTAATAACAAACAATATTTCAGTTTTTAATAGTAGGAAAGGTTATTTATGGTGTTCACATGAATGCATTAGTCCTTAAGAATTTTTCTTAACATCGGTATATTATTGACCCGGTGCTATATAAAACGACCATCCGATAATTTACCTTCATACGAGGGTACATAGTGAATCATGGTTTTTAAAGAAGGTCATTTCTAAATGCGAGAGTATATTTAGGGCTTTATCCACGCAAAACAGTGATAAATGCTTTTATCGTACGTAATTGGTAGACATCAATAGTTCAATAAACAGATCTGAGGTAAGAGTTTTATATTGGATGACAACATGATGTTTCTTAAGGTTGTGTGACCACTTTAAGTAGGGGTACAATGGTTCACTTGGAGATAGAACTTTGATCTTAGCGATTATCGATGAACATGAAAACAGAAAGGCATTATCCAATGAATTACGGTCTGTACATAATCTTGGCATTCTGGGAATGTTTTTTTATTCCACAGTTGGCTATTTCAAGATCATGTTTGCACAATCTATACTTGATGGAAAGCTTTCTTAGATCAAATTCGGGCTAATGAAGGTACATTTCTCTTTTGAAGACCTCTTTGGTATCCTAGTATAGAATTAATTTGTTAAATTATTAATAGAATTAACATCATCCAGACAATTTAGTTTGTAACACGTAAATGTTTATTTCAAACGTGATTTTATATTTTATTTGTTAAAGTTCGTACTGTTGTAAATACACCCACATCATGTATGAAGGTCCGACAAAAGTGTGCGTATTACAATTTTACAAAATTCAAAAGTAACAGTAAATTCGAATGATAAAAAATGCCACGAAAAATAAATAAAAATATACTAAAAGGTTTTAATGATACGATCGATTTTCCCAGCAAACATGAGTGTAATATTCAAGATTGTGGTGTGATCTTTTAACGTATGATCGCAGTTGTCCTTTTGACATTTCACTTTTAAAAGCCTGACTTGCAATGACTTTTAAATCCATTATCCCTAAATATACCTACATTTATTAGTAGATAAAATATTCCTCTCGCGTTCAATAGCGTGATTGATATATATCTTTTAAATATGATGTAGGGATGCGTGACAAGGTCGAGGAGAGGCATACAATTTAATCTATTTATGTTATTACAGGTATGACCCTTGACCTCTGTATTTGTATCCAATATTGACAGCACACCGCCAAGCGTTATGATAAACGTGATCATTTCGATTTCCCTACAGATAATTTTCCATTTCTTAATAGCAATTTCCCTACATCCAAAATCTTTATGGTTCTGTCCCTATTATCGTGATTTTCGTGCAAGAAGTCTTCAACTGACGGACAAACTTGTAACACAGGGTTTCAAATGTTGCTGGTTGATGGAAAATATGGAATAGTTTTACGGCCGCCGTAGTGATTTCATTGTTAAATATTTTATTTCTTTGTGTGATACTAAGCTGAATGTGTTTGATGCCCGTTAGTTTGTCTGTTGGTTCCGTTGTGTGATACTAAGCTGAATGTGTTTGATGCTCGTTAGTTTGTCTGTTGGTTCCGATGTTGTATACCTTGTCCTTATTTGAGAACGTGACATTTCGTACTTGGATGAACAATATTAACATGATGTGTGTCGTTTGCGAAGCAGAAGACGCTCACTACTCCCGAACACCAGGTCGTAACCACCTTGTACTTTTCCAGGAGTCTCTGTGTAAATCTTTCTTTTGTTTATATCTTGCCATATTTTTTTTTTAATTTCACCTTGGCTTAAGATTGTGTCAATATCATAGGAGGTTCTGGGTTTTTTCATTCTTTAAAAAATACAAATTTTAAGTACATAAATTGTAATATAATATTTTAAGATAATTAAGGAAACACCTATAGAGTCTGGAGTGAGACCTTAGCAGAATTTTAAAGTTTGTTTTTCCAAAATAACGACCATATTGGGTGTCGGACCGACCCGTAAAATAACAACAATTCATCAAGAGCATTTTAGGCAAGTTTCAGTACGATTCCTCAGGCGACATTTAAAATGAGTAGATTACAAACGTCGACCTGTGTACACTCAGCAGAATTAACTTCTACCAAAAAGGACTCAGTCGCGGCTTTACGTAGGAAGACTAAAAGTAGTTCGCCGAAAAAAGAATGCATAGCCGAACACAATCTTGTTTAAAGACGAATGGATGGACGGACGAACAATTTAACATATCCCAATAACTACGGAGTTGGATGGTTAGCCTAATCATTGACCAGGAAAACACTCCTGTACCTAGACCTGTTTCTATAAGTTCAAAATATATTTTTGGTCCTAGAACATGGATGTTATTAAAAGGGTAATACAGACTTGAATTGTAGTTATAAGATATACATTTATCTATTCTTATCTGCTTTTTTTGGCACTGGACATCAAATATGGTTATGTTTCAATTGAGTGAACAAGCCCCTCCCTTGATCGAAATCCTATCACGACTTGTTGATATTTAATAGGAACGCTAGTCAATCGTGTTTATTCCTCTCCTCAACACGAGACACACAAGGACATAATGGGGACTCCAGTTGTCCTTCTGTTGGTTCTGATTGGGTGTTTTCAGGTATGTAGATGGGCAATGAATTTTCTTGGTCGATCATGCAATATGATATTTTTTACCATGTCTGGATGTTGTTAACATAAATAAATCGCGAATACTTTATTGCTGTATAATTCTCCATCAAAGGCAAGTAACAGATCAGGTGTACATGGTGTCTTCACCCATTTCTCGTATATCTAAAACGTTTTCTACTTTTTCTAGGCGATAAGCGGGAAGCCAACTTTGGACGATGAATTCTTAGAGAAGTTGGAACGTAAGTCTACATGTCAATTTTCCTGGTTAATATCAATTAATAACAATTAAAAATTAAGTAACATCATAACAGCACTGGAATGTTAAATGTTGTGCGTTGTAATGGTGTCATTAGTTAGTTACCTGTTGTGTTGTAATGGTGTCAGTAGTTGGTTAACTGTGTTGTTGTAATGGTGTCAGTAGTTGGTTAACTGTGTTGTTGTAATGGTGTCAGTAGTTAGTTGACTATTGTAATGTAATGGTGTCAGTAGTTAGTTAACTGTGTTGTTGTAATGGTGTCAGTAGTTGGTTAACTGTGTTGTTGTAATGGTGTCAGTAGTTGGTTAACTGTGTTGTTGTAATGGTGTCAGTAGTTGGTTAACTGTGTTGTTGTAATGGTGTCAGTAGTTGGTTAACTGTGGTGCTGTAATGGTGTCAGTAGTTAGTGGACTATTGTAATGTAATGGTGTCAGTAGTTAGTTAACTGTGTTGTTGTAATGGTGTCAGTAGTTAGTTACCTGTGTTGTTGTAATGGTGTCAGTAGTTAGTTACCTGTGTTGTTGTAATGGTGTCAGTAGTTAGTTAACTGTGTTGTTGTAATGGTGTCAGTAGTTGGTTAACTGTGTTGTTGTAATGGTGTCAGTAGTTGGTTAACTGTGTTGTTGTAATGGTGTCAGTAGTTGGTTAACTGTGTTGTTGTAATGGTGTCAGTAGTTGGTTAACTGTGTTGTTGTAATGGTGTCAGTAGTTGGTTAACTGTGGTGCTGTAATGGTGTCAGTAGTTAGTTAACTGTGTTGTTGTAATGGTGTCAGTAGTTAGTTACCTGTGTTGTTGTAATGGTGTCAGTAGTTAGTTACCTGTGTTGTTGTAATGGTGTCAGTAGTTAGTTACCTGTTGTGTTGTAATGGTGTCAGTAGTTAGTTACCTGTGTTGTTGTAATGGTGTCAGTAGTTAGTTACCTGTGTTGTTGTAATGGTGTCAGTAGTTAGTTACCTGTTGTGTTGTAATGGTGTCAGTAGTTAGTTACCTGTTGTGTTGTAATGGTGTCAGTAGTTAGTTACCTGTTGTGTTGTAATGGTGTCAGTAGTTAGTTACCTGTTGTGTTGTAATGGTGTCAGTAGTTAGTTACCTGTTGTGTTGTAATGGTGTCAGTAGTTAGTTACCTGTTGTGTTGTAATGGTGTCAGTAGTTAGTTAACTGTTGTGCTGTAATTGTATCAGAAGCTAGTTAACTATATTGTTTGTTGTGCTTTCACCATTTAGTGCTACGTAAACCATCATGACGTTGTGGTATTTTTGTCGTCTTCGGAAATATAGAGGGTCATCCTGCGTCGTTCAATATCCATTCAAATGTGTAGGTTTTAATCTGTAGCGAAATGTGTGCTGCTGTCTTCCGATAACCCACTACTTTGGTATGATATACATTCGAAACTAGTGCCATTGATGCGCATTTGATGCGGGTTGAATAGTAATCCTTTCGCATCATATTTATACGTTTAGACATTTCATTTATAGGCGAATTGGAACAAGATATAAAAAGTCTTCACGAAAAAAGAAAGCATCATGATTCATCTTCAAAAGAAGAAGATGAGTTATCACCATCAGGCTTTCCCTACATTAAAGGACCTGAAGATATCCATGCCAAGATCGCTATTGTGGGGGCGGGGCCGGCTGGTGTACACATGGCTTTGAAACTCAAGGTACGGCTTTTTCGTCTGACATTAGGTGAATATATCATTAATTTTACTCCGGATCTTCTTGATAAACATTGAATGATTAAAGTATACCTGATGTTAAAAATCTGTTACTATTTTTATAGACCAGCGATGATGAAGATGTGTTATTGTAACCGGTGTTCATATCGCGTCTGTGTGGATGTGTTTAAAAATATCAACAGAAGGTATTACTAGGACCAACATCAATTATCCAACTCTATTAAAGTCGGCAAAAAGTGCAGACAAACCTCCGTGTTTATCAATATACATGTAAATTTTCCAGTGTGAAAATAACCTAATTCACTTATATATATACGCCAGTATAAGGTCCATTTGTGTAAAGATTGAATCAATCCCTATCTACCTTATTCAGGTTCGCTGGGGCATAGCAATGTAAAGTAATATACATGTATTTTAATATAAAACCTAAGGTTCTGAAAAGCAAAACTATATTTCTAAAGTTGCACATTCTTTGAACTAATGGAATGGAGGGGGATGTCTCCAGTTAACACTATATCAAAGAAAACGTACTTTAAGGACATGCTTATAATTAAAATATAATCCCCTGTAGTATTTATCTTACACAAATTCACATAAATTGAAAGCTAACAGGGCGTTGAATGTTCACAAATGTAATGTTCATGTAAGATATGGGATACAAAGAGTCTAAATGTTTGAAGTTCGGGTGGCTATTAGGACAATTAAAGGTGATCAAAAGAAATGTTAAAATCTAGATGGGGAAAGGCTTTAGCCCCGTAATTCAATGCCAAATATATGTTTATATTCGGAACCGTGCTGTATTCGATTAAACAAAACGTGACATGCAGCTCTCGTCAAATCTCGTGGACTGAACAATCACCAGCAATGTCTAACACCTAATATTTCGGAGCTAAGAACTTGTGTATTTTCTGAACCGTGTCGGTAAAACGAATTAAAACATGGTCTGCAAGTTACAACAAACCACGGATGACTAAACATTGTACAAAAGGGACACACGTGAATAGCACCTATTAATACAAATTTAATGTTACATACGGTAGAACTACTATTTTCATCTAACCTGGGTTATTTTTTATAAGCTAATAATGTAAGCAAAGCAACTAGTGTATAGTAAGCATTTTGATTAAAGTCGTTTTACTTATCAGATTTGTGGGTTCAAATCTCAAGTGCCCGTTTCTGAGATGGGCTTTTGGAGACAACATATGGGATTCAGTTTTATAAGACATCCATCTTCCGTTGAACGATCAACGCTATGTTCCGGTACCGTGTGTTTCCAGTTTCAATTCTGACAGAAAGACTTTAGATACAATGAAAGAATTAAGTTCGTATCTTATTCTTTAAGTTACGTACATTTTGATACCTAAAAGAAAACCAAAGCTCAAAGGAATGAGATATCCCCGCGTTTCGTCAGTATAGTGGGAATTAATTGTCTTTAACAACACCGCATGAGTTTCGTATTTGCGCGGGAAAACGTCTTCGTACCGTATGTACAGACCAGCCACTGCAAATTCTAACACCGAACTTTCTTGTCGCAATCATGGGTCCAGAGAGAGTGACCCAGAGATAGTGAGGTATGGGGTGGATCTAGTAACACTGAACTATGCCACTCTTAATCATATGGTATATGCCACTCTTAATTTTATGGTATATGCCACTCTTAATCTTATGGTATATGCCACTTAATCTTAAGGTATATGCCACTCTTAATTTTATGGTATATGCCACTCTTAATCATATGGTATATGCCACTTAATCTTAAGGTATATGCCACTTAATTTTAAGGTGTATGCAACTTTTAATCATATGGTATATGCCACTCTTAATTTTAAGGTATACGCCACTCTTAATCTATGGTATATGCCACTCTTAATCTTATGGTATATGCCACTCTTAATTTTAAGGTATATGCCACTCTTAATCTATGGTATATGCCACTCTTAATCTTATGGTATATGCCACTCTTAATTTTAAGGTATATGCCACTCTTAATCTATGGTATATGCCACTCTTAATCTATGGTATATGCCACTCTTAATCTTATGGTATATGCCACTTAATTTTAAGGTGTATGCCACTTAATTTTAAGGTGTATGCAACTTTTAATCATATGGTATATGCCACTCTTAATTTTAAGGTATATGCCACTCTTAATCTATGGTATATGCCACTCTTAATCTTATGGTATATGCCACTCTTAATTTTAAGGTATATGCCACTCTTAATCTATGGTATATGCCACTCTTAATCTTATGGTATATGCCACTCTTAATTTTAAGGTATATGCCACTCTTAATCTATGGTATATGCCACTCTTAATCTTATGGTATATGCCACTTAATTTTAATGCCACTTAATTTTAAGGTGTATGCAACTTTTAATCATATGGTATATGCCACTCTTAATTTTAAGGTATATGCCACTCTTAATCTATGGTATATGCCACTCTTAATCTTATGGTATATGCCACTCTTAATTTTAAGGTATATGCCACTCTTAATCTATGGTATATGCCACTCTTAATCTTATGGTATATGCCACTCTTAATCATATTCGGAACTGTGCTGTATTCGATTAAACAAAACGTGACACGCAGCTCTCGTCAAATCTCGTGGACTGAACAAACACCAGCAATGTCTAACACCTAATATTTCGGAGATTCCTTATGGTTTATGCCACTCTTAATCATATTCGGAACCGAATATAAAATTCTTTTATTGAACCTCAGATCATTCATACATGACATATGAGGATGTCCATATAAAAACATGGCATAGTCAGAGTTAGCATGGTATACAATAAATAGTTGTACAATTAAAATGAGATGTTAAACATTTTAATGTTTTGTAGTTTAGGTGTTTATCAAAAACTTCATTTCACCAAATATATATAAGATAAACAAATGTATGTAATTTAAACAGCATTTTTTTTTTTTTATCAAATTTACAAACAGAGTGGCATAGTAAAAATGCTACTTCTTAAACATTTGCCCAAAACTTCAATATGTGAGATATAAATTTACATAATTTTATACATACATCATTATCCTTTGTCGTTATCAATCTTACACACTACAAACCTAACGAGCTACAAGCACACTACAAGTATACATCACAACAATGGATACGATAATTGGTCTTTAAGTATAAGACATGAATGAACATTACATCGAGCAAATATTGTAAGGGATTCCCTGCTACACTGATTCCTACATATGTCTGCCTATGACAAGAGTAAAAAAAAAACCGACATTGCTTGTTATGTTATGCTGCTCCCTCAAACTTAGCTCATTAACATATTCGTGCAAACCATATATATTGTAACAAATGTTTATATTGGTGACGTCACGTATTTAGTTTGGGATGCAAAACACTTTGTGTTACTTGTTGTCGGTGCTAATGTTGTTCCATATTACTATCATATGACGTAACGAAAAGATATGACCGAAAACGTCACTACGACGTCGGAAGCGATATACATGACCTATATCAGTGAGTAATAGACCTATACTGAATGATGGAAGGACTGAATGGTAGTGTATTTCAACAGTAAATTACTGAAAAGCAACATAAATGTTGATAGTATGTCAAAAAATATGACAAAAATCAGATTAACAAATATTCCTGAAAAATTACATGAAGAATGAAACCAGGTGCTCTAGAAGGGAAAGCGTCTTCTGGTCCATACGACATCCACCATAAAAATCTTAGCCAATCGAAATCAGAAATGGCGCAATCCGAAACTAGACCCTAGAACGCCCTCATAATCTTCATCAGTCTGCATCCCGTGAATTTCTGTGTTTTTTACTCTTGAACGAAAATCGTGAAATTGGGAACAGGCCGTTGAAAAGCTAACGTTCTGTCAAATAAAAAAGTCAATTGATTGGTAGTTTTTTCTCAGTTACACTAAAGACACATTAACTTTACACAGCTTAGAAAATAGAGTCATTTAAAACCATCTATCATCAAAGATGAGACACGACAAAGTTATTGATAAGAAGTTTCACGAAAGTCAGTGTATCTGCACAATTTTATAGTAGGCTTCACAGAAACTTCGACGTCAGAAATAAAACAAACGTTTTGTTAATGCATTATTTTAACAATTCTTTTTTCAGCGGAATAATTTCACTGATGTTACAGTGTTTGAGAAGGAAGAAGAAGTAGGCGGAAAATCGAAAACCCTTTTGTACCGCGATGTCGTTCATGAAATGGGGACCTGCTATACCCAGCCAGACTACACGGAACTGTATGACCTCCTTGAAACTTACAATGCCGGAAATCTTCGCCCGTTACCTAGTCCTACAATATGGCTAGGTCAAGGTAATTATCATAGGTTTTTTATTTAACAAGATGAAAACGGGCCTGTATCATTTACTCGATATTAAATGTTTTGAACAAATTTAGTTAAGTACAGCATCATTTTTAACGTGGGTCTGTGCTTACACATTTGAATAAAAATTACTATCCTGTATTTTTTTTCCTGAAAGATTTCTTTTCATATAGTTTACTTGTCTTTCAACTTTGCACCAAATATTCTTTTTGTTAATAAAAGGAAGTCATCACAGGGTTTTAACATATTAAGCCTTAGATATGGTTCTTTCATTTCTCAAGATTTCATCTTGGGTACAGATAGGACCAATCAACGTTTTTTGTTGTAAATCCGATAAGTTGTTCGAATAGTAAACAAATTTAACCCGTTATAGCCATGAGCTAAAACACACGTACAGCCAGTCGGGGGAATCACTTGGCAGAATATCTTTGGTTCTCATGACCAGCTTACTATATTGCTTCACGAAGAAAACTAGCTACTGTGTATGAATCCATTGCCTTGCACGGGGCTTTAATCTCAGAAACACTGGTAAGTCTTGTGGTTCACGCAAACTGTTCATTCCCTGCTATGTGACAAAATCCGTCACTAGTTCATCATCGATCGATGTATGTAACAATGTTGAACCGTTCCACTTCAAGAGCAGTGATCCACCACTTAAAATTTTACGCGCCTATCCTGATCAAACGAAAATATTATCCCGATATGTCTAAGTACAAAAAAAGTTTATATGCTCATTATCTGAAACTATAGGAAGCTTGGGAACCTCCCTAGTACTGCATGGATTTCTCCTTGTTGGTATAGAACCCAAGCATTGTGAGAGTATCAAGTTATCAGTCAGGGTATGGTAAGATCTCCGAGTCTAGTAAATGAGACCAATTTTCAGTGTTCTGAAATGTTCAATCATAGGATGTAATACCTTACAGAAGATATAGGAGCTCAACGGGTAGAACGTTCCATACATAACATAGTTTTTTCCCCAGCAAAACCAAACATTCTTTCTGTTATCTTCGTAAATAGCAATATAAAAAATCCGTTTTTCAAATTGTTGTTACAAGTTTGTCCCCTTTTGTACAGTAATATTTTCATACCAAAACTTTGGTGAAACACTACACGAGATTATTACTCGAAGATCTGTGATAAGTCTGAACATTTTTATAGACATTATGAAACAAAACCAATTCGCCAAAACCACTCGTGCCATCTGACTGGCAAATTGTACTTTTTTCAAAATTTATATCCTGGTATGTTTACCACCAAAAGATGCAACGATTTTGTAAAGTTTTTTGAACACTGAGCAAATCGAAACCCCGAACTCTTGTTTGACGCGTACAGCGTCAAGTAAAGAACCCCTGCATGCCACCTAGTTGTATTATTAGACACCTTCCCCTTGACTACGCACTCATAATCACGTCCAATTGCCACAGAAAAACAATTACAGTTGTTCACTAGTAGGTATTCTCTTACTTTGAGTCATTAAATAACATATCAGTATTGTATAAATTTAAAGGAATATCGCGTAAATCAATGCCAGATAAAAGAATGCACTTAGTGATATATCGTAATTTGTTTCCAAATGTCTAAAAGCGAATGTTTCTTTCGTTGAATAAACCGCTGCTTTTATATTGTTCTCGTAATACTGACATGGTAATACTTTCTTTGTCATTACAGGCACACTGGAGTCATTTCAGTTTACACTGAGTTCTTTAATCCAAAACCCGCCGCAACAGATACCACAGATATTCAATCGCGCGGTTGAAAACTATAACGAAGTACATCACACGCTGTTCGGAGATTACGTGGGGGAATTGATGCCACGTCCATCCGTCGATAACTTAAAAAAACTGAACATGACATTTTTAGAATTTCTGAAAGAGAACGATGCAGATGAACTAGCAAACCTTTTTCTGCAGATACACACAGCTCAAGGCTATGGGCACATAGACGAAGTTCCAGCTTTGTATGGTGTGACATGGGTGACTCCGAAATTTCTCAATGGTCTTTTTAAAAGACCTACTACAGGAAATGTCTCACCAATCAATCTATTAAGTAGAGGTTATCAAACGGTATGGAAGGAAATAGTAGACCAGGAAAATATCAATGTCCGATATTCATCTCCAGTAAGAAGGATAAATCGGCGGAAGAAAGAGGATCGCCGCAAGGGTGGCAAGCGTCGTCCGGCGTTCGAGATACAATATGATGACCGGACTGGCTTTAGAAAGGAAGAGTCTTTTGACTTCCTTGTATTGACACCGGAAATGAAACTGCTTTCAGATTTAGATATCATCGACTTCAACGACGAGGAGATGAATCTTTTCAAGAGAATGAACCATTATTACTACGCAACAACGCTAGTAGACACCACATACGGGACAAATAGAGGTTTGACACCGCAAAGCTACTTCGCCGATAATATTCAGGGAAAGGTCGATGGAAAGGTTTGGGTAAAGAGGGATTCCTATAACAGCCTTGAATTCAACGTAGGAACAAACTACACTGACGGATTGGTTCCTGGGGCTCCTGATGGAAGGTTCGAGCAAACATCCGTATATTATCAATTCTCAAAATCATTGCCGGAGAAAGAAGATCTGGAGAAGGAGTTAGTCGACCATATTCGTCAGAGGGAAAATGCAGAAGTTGTTAATATTCTGAATACCAATGTATGGGATTACTTTCCACAGTTTTCTGTTGAGGACATAGCGTCAGGAATAACTTGGGATATCTTTGACATGCAAGGGAAGTACGGTATTTGGTATGCTGGATCCTCTGTATATTTCGAGTCTGCCAAGTCCGTGTTGGAGTACAATAACCTCATATTCCGACAGTACCCCCTGCCATAGACGACGGAATAATACATTGTCAAGTATATCATTTCGTCTTGAAAGCCTACCAGGATCAGAAGAAAGTTTAACGGTATCCAGATAAAGAATTTAAACCATATTAGAGTTAGAATCAATAAGTAATAATACACGTATCAATTACAACTAAGATATACCTTTCCTGTTGTATTTTCTACAAATATTTAATCAATTATCTTCATCTTAAATCATGCTTGAAATAACGAACCATCTGCAGCTTGCAACAGATAAATTTCTTAATTTAGTTAGAATCATTGTTCTACTTCATATGTATTCGAATACGACACAGTAATATATACTGGGCTATTCCTTGTACACAAACACTAACCCCCTAGCAACACGCTGGTTTATTTGCAGAGGTGCTAAATATGTTTATATAAACATATAATGTAGCCTTGTATTTAGCTTTTGTAGTACAATATGCTACACTGGCAGTAATTACGTACTCGGATAAATGTATATAACTTCCGCATTTACGAAGAAAATCCCTAAAAATTGTTAATAGAATTATGTAGGCAAATGTAAATTACAATTTTCGATGGCATAGGAAAAAAGGATAAACAGTTTTTTGAAATACCACTCTAAGTTTCTGATATTTTGCCCAATCCTCCCCTGAAAATACAGGGTTTGTTTTGTTTTCTGTTTTGTTTTGTTATTTTTTTTTTGTTTTGTTCTGTTGACGGTTTGACGTGTATGTTTTATATTAGAGTTCACGACAGACAAGGTAGCCCTCTGAAAAATAGAAATTTTACATATTCAACATGCTGTGTTCATGAGAATGCATGTGCTGATGTAAATGCTCACATAAAATTCTTTGTTTTTTCGAGAATATCTATCTATTTATCTATCTATCTATATATATATATATGTTGTATTCGCAGAGGTAAAGAAAAATATTTACTTTTAATAAGAATTCAAATTTTGATGCAAAACATAACATACTATATAGTATAATCCCTCACCATATTGTTATATTTTTTATGCTTGCCTGAGTTTGCAAACCTTATTTTCAAAGTACCCATTTGAAGAATCTTTACTACAATATTTTTCATACATTTTAATTGTACATTATTATGCTTTTGAAATAAACTACGACAACATTCTAGATTTAATTTGGTCATTTATTGCAACAACACAACAATATGACGACATGGAAACAGAATCTTTATTCAGCATAAAATTGATGAAATTATGACAAAAGAAAAATAAGACGGACACTCCTGTAAAGTACTTGGAGAATAAGACCAGGGTTCATGAATGGTAAGCGTCTTCTGCTTCATCAGTGACACCCGCCATGTATATCTTGGTCAATCCAAGCCAGTAATGTTACGTTACCAAATGGATTAAGGTAAGCAACACCAGAAAAAACAGGCATTTCATAAAAAACAAAATTCAATTAATACATCACGACGACAACAAATGTACACAATCAATTCGCATCTCTCGAACCCATGTGTTGTAGATTTTCTGTTGGTTGTCGACATCTTGCGCCCTACACCAACAAGAAATTACCGATATGTCTACATAACAATTACCCAAACTCAAATTCAATACAAGTAGGGCAAAATATGAACAAATGAGAAATTTGAACGGAGACTCTTGAAAAAGTACAAGGAGAATAAGACTAAGTGTCTCCTCGAGGATACCCATTAAGTAAATCCTGGTATACACCAACGGAACAAACAGGCAAACCAATGAGCATCAAACACGTCAGCTTCATATCGCACAAAGAAATGGAATATTTTATAAACATGATAATCGTGACGACAGTAAAACTTCTTCATCAATTTCTTCAACCTGTATCGTTTGAAACTGTGTTACGAGTTTGTCCATTAGTTGACAACTTCTTGCACGAAAATCGTGATAATTGGAACAAGTCCTTGAATATCGAATCACTGCCGACATTTTAACACCACATGATGGGGGTGCAGGGATATTGCTATCCAGAAATAGAAAGAAAGGGGGAGGGGATTGAAATCAGTACGCTTATCATACAGCTTGGTGGAAAGCTGTCCATGTTTGTTTCGTTGTAGGAAAAGATGGAGATAAGTGACTGATAGCAACAGGTGAAATGTTCAGTTTTGAATATCTAAATGAGGTAATGTATCTTTATTGTGTTCATCATACTTTATGCCTTATGATATGTTTCATTAGCATGCAGTCTGAGACAGTCAATCGTATTCACATATTAAATAAAGACTGTTTTCATGGTTATCAACGCCGTCTTGCTTACAGAAATGTTAGGCATTCACAATGATTTGCCAGTGGCCCAAACACTGTCGACCCCTGTTTATATAGTTTGTAGGTCTTGTAATGTTTTGTGATTTAATGTAACTGTAAAATAACTTATTATCAATTGATATTTATTAACGTGATTTCGGTATATTATGTAAAGCAAGTGCTCCTTAGTTTGTTACAAGCGTTACCTGTATTCGTTAATTCCTATTGTATTGTATTATTGTCCAGGGGTATAAGTTCGACTTTCAGTGACCGATCACGTGCACGTGACAGTCCTATAGAAATGTAGTCATGCGTAGCACACCTGTGAAGTTGAACGGGAGTACGACCTTATTAGCTAGGTTATTTATTACGGGTATATAAGGCCGGGTTGTTGGAACATACCAACAATACCCATTAATACATGCCAATAACACACACCACATCCCTTAGCAGGGGACACTGTAGAAAAACAGTAAGATCCCCCCCCCTTTGTTTTAAGTAACCATACCCACAACACCACATACATACACAAAAACATCACCTACATAAATACAACATACACTGGGCCGAGACCCAAAGCCAACAACCTTTACAAAATCTCTTCCACTCTTCCTTCCACCTTCTAATATACAAATCCCTGTTCTAGTAGGGTAGACATGTAGACGATTATACACAGTAATCTACCGTCTCCCGAACGACATCGTTTGTATAATAATTCACATTAATTCTCACTAATCCCAAAAATCTACGCTAACCCAACTCCAGCACATTCTTTACATCACCCCATCACATCCACTCTCATAACTGAACTTAATAACACACTTTTAAAATCCACTCTAGACCAGCATGACTAACCTTGTCAAATGGCGGCTAGTAATCCCATCTACAAATAACAAACCTACCCCAGCTAACAAGCTAAACCTATTTTCCAATTTCCGACTTTCCCATACGCTCTCTCCCGCTATCTTCTAAAACTTCTTGTCCTTCGGAAGGGACGTTAAACGGGGGCCCGGTGTACAGTGAGTCACGCCGTGCACGTTAAAGAACCTCTGCTGGTTTTCGAAAAAGAGAAGGCTAACTGCTAGCCGCCACAGAGCATAGGTTTATAATAGGGAAATATAAAGTGAGACTAGAGTAGGACTAGGCATTTCTGTGACACTCAAAAATTTCCCCCGTTTTTTTTTTTTTTTTTAGACGTTAGGGTATAGATTTAGTCAGATCTGTCCTCCCCATATTAGACCTGTTTGGTGATTACTAAAAAGCGAAATTGCACACCCTAATGCCTCGGCCCTACCAGCCCCCTCCCCCTTAGTGTCCTAGGCTCGGTTATAACCGGAACAAGGACGTTAAGCTAAAAAAACACAAAAAAACATCGGGGTCCTTCTCTCTTCCGCTGGAGTCAAAGCAGGCAGGCCTTGTTGATGGTGAGATATTATTGAATAATTGTAAAGCTCAAAGGGGAAAGCGCATTTCGCCAGACGTCCGGGATTGCCACAGTGAACAGTACAGGGGTTTGGCGCGGACGCCGGGAAGTTATTGGCGTAAGGGGTAACGCGGACGCCGGGAGCTGGGCCGAAGGTTACTAGGGCGCCTAGGAACGTATTGTGGGACGGGCGAGGATGATAGCGAAGTGTGTTCCTCCTTAGTTAAGTTGGCCTTAGTTTTGCCAGGGAACTATTGTTATTATTCGACGGCGTAACGTCAGCGTTACGCCCGTATCTTGCAGTTAGCGCCGGGCGCATTGACGCCCTAGTTCTCCCTTAGCCGAACTCCCGCTAGTAATGTAGTGTGTTTGTAGTTGTGTTTTATGTAATGTCCGACTCGTAGAGAATATCAAATCTTTGTGTGTGTATACGATTTTTGTCTTCATTTTGCAAACGAACACGATTACTAAGGACGCCAACTTGGCGGGGAGACGCCTACAGGAGAAATTAACAGAACAATTACCGGAGAGGGGAGATAACCCTTACAATCTGTTGACTTGTAGACAAAACCTGAAACATCTTCCTTTTCTTTACTTTTCATTCCATACATAGAATATAATGGCCTTTATTTTAAGGAATATGATGAAATATAGCACGCCGTCATTTATTTTTTTCACTTTTCTTTTTTTTACCCAGTATAACTAGCCTGACCTTGATTTGAACGTGACTAAAATCTTAACGTTTGAAGAACTTTTAAGATATTTTTATTCAATGTTGCTTTTCAGGATAAAATTGACTTTAAAAATGAAATGAAATAACATTTAAAACATTTTATTTGTGACGATTTATTGCAATTATTTCCACAGTTTGTCAACATATGAAAGGAAACACACGTTTCCGGGTTTTACCTAAGAACAATGATCAAAAGTCTAGAATTTTTAGAAGCTGAAGACGTGTTGTGAACACATATTACCATACACATACCACGAATGTATCACGGTGTGCTACTACTGATGTCAGTTAACTAGCAAGGTTGTCGTTCACGTAGATTAGATTAGGGAACCTATTTCACGAAGACAGTGTTGGTTAGATTCTTGTTATACCTCTATTTACCATAAGTAACATTGTAGATCATTGAATAACATATGTTCTATACACTCAATATAAATGCGTTATCAGGACATCCCTTGCATAACAACCCAGCACAATGTAAACAATTTCTCAGCAGTATTATAATAGACAATTATGAAAAATTCTAAAGAGTAACCGCAGCAATTGATCTTATTATCACTAGAAACAGGCATTATCTGGAAAATGCATATTCCTGACTTACGTAGA